AGAGCCTGGAGCCTGCTTCGGATTCTGTGTCTCCCCCCCCCTCTTGCTGCTCCTCCACCGCTCACACTCTCTCAAAAATAAATAAACATTAAAAAAATTTTTTTAATTTTTTTCATAAAATGTTGAAAATAAAATATAAGCAGTGAGTAAAGGAACTAGGGTAACTAAAGACAAATCTATATACCGTGTTTCAAAACTAGCAGGGTAAACTTCTTGGGTGGTTGAAGCTATTTTAGCAGAGTGAGAGGAATGAAAGAAAATTAAAATCAAAACTCAACAGCTGAAGCAGGCAAAACAGAGTATAAAATGGTGGAGTTTTTGGTTTTGGGGGATTGTTTTTGTAGGGATATCCATGCAGAACTTTAGTTTCTATTTTACTGTGGTAAGGACACTTACCATGAGAGCTACCCTCTTAACAGATTTTAAGTGTACAATACAGAATTGTTATCTAGAGCCACAATGTTGTACAGATCTCTAGAACCTCATCTTGCATAAATGAAATCTATCAAGATAAAAACTCAGATCTAATATACCAATAAGTAAATAAAAGGTTTTTTTTAAGTATAGAACTACAGTACTCTAATACTTCTAATTTTTTATGTTTATTTATTTTGAGAGAGCACGTGCAAGAGTTGGGGAGGGGCAGAGAGAAAATCTCAAGCAGGCTCTGCATGGTCAGCGTAGAGCCTGATGCAGGGCTCAATTCCACAAACCCTGAGATCATGACCTGAGCCGAAATCAATAGTCAGACACTTAACCGACTGAGCCATCCACGAGCCCCTAGAATTTTTTTTTTTCTATAATTCTACAAATGATTTGAGAAACCTGCCTTGTATAGTTTGGAAAAAGCCGTAAGGTCTGCAAGAAAAGATGTTAGCTGTGTAGGTGAAGGGACTGACCGCCCAGAGAACACCAATAAATCAATACTATTAATCCGTAATGTTCACTAAGATAGACCTTAACATTTTTATTCATTGCCCTGAATACTCCCAAGAGCTGATTCAGTTTAATATCATTATTGTTGAATCACTTCCCCCAGCCCCCTTTCACAAGAGATACAGCCATTGGCAAGTTCCTCTTACCAGGAAATAAACCCAAAAAACAAACAGCTGTTCAACAGCAAAGGATTTCCTGATTTCCGTGCTCCCTTCTGGCAGCCAGAAGAAGTGAACTCAAAAGTGTTGTATTATTAGGGAAATAATGAAGCAGTACCTGAAACGGCTCAATTAGTTTTAACTACAGATGTGTATCATGGCTTAACAAAATCTAGTTTTACAGGTAGCTAGTGAATATTCTTGAGAATTACAGAATTTGAAGAATCAGTTGCCTGTACTTACAGGCTTCTCCCAACCCCCAGGTATCCTGACAAGGTACCAATGTAGGGACCTTATGTGACAGCCACTCTTAAATTGTTTTTTGGCATTCAGGGCAAAATTTTTTTAAACCTCAATTCTAACTTCATAAATATTTACCCTCCATATTGTCAAGGTTGTCAAGGTAGTTTTTAAAAAACGATTATGAAAGATTTCAAACACTAAAGTAGAGGGACTTGCATTAATGAACCTAGGCTTTGACAATTATTCACCAATTAACAGGCAGCAAATCTTTCATCTATAAACCCCGCCACCCAGGTTTTGATGGGATACTCAGATTTATCATTTTGGAGTGGTTTTAGTCCCACCCTAGTTACTAAACTCTGGTCCATCCTTTCCTGAAGCTACTTTTCCCCTAACACAAGGACCCCACACATCCCTGAAACTGCCTTTGATACCGGAAGAAGACAAGTGTTCCAATCAAGCTGCTCCGATGGAAACTTAACGTTCTAGGTGAAATGGAAGGAAACAAGACGTTGTCTTTTGCTGTATAAATTCTCGAGTTTAGTTTTTATTACAAGTGGAAATATAAATGGCTCCAAATAGGTTTCGTACAAAATGGACATTAAAAAAAAGTCATTTGTTCATGTACCACCCTCTGTCAATGGACTATATCATTATTCAAGGAGATTTATGTCTGAATTAAGTTCTGCATGTCTGGTGTCCACATAAGAAATGATTTTGTACTTTTATCTATCTCCAAAGCTAATTAAAAGGTTATGCCTTGATTACAGGCTCCAAGGAAATCAAAGATGTTTGAAAACTTCACACGTCTTGAATTTCGACAGTAAAACAGATTCAGTATGTGCTCTTTACCAAGGCAGAAAACTGCAATTAATTTTGAAGAAAAATATACACAGCATAAAAAAGAATTCTAGGGGCGCCTGGGTGGCGCAGTCGGTTAAGCGTCCGACTTCAGCCAGGTCACAATCTCGCGGTCCGTGAGTTCGAGCCCCGCGTCGGGCTCTGGGCTGATGGCTCGGAGCCTGGAGCCTGTTTCCGATTCTGTGTCTCCCTCTCTCTCTGCCCCTCCCCCGTTCATGCTCTGTCTCTCTCTGTCCCAAAAAATAAAAAAAAAAAAAAAAAAAAAAAAGAATTCTAATTGTTTTCCCCCCTATGGATGATTTAGCTTTCCACCTTTGCTTTGGTGTGATCACATCTATCTCAGGAAGGGGTGAAAGTAAAGGGTCAAGAACAAACCACTGTGCCTTTGTATCTCTTTCCCTGTTTAACAATTCTAAATGGATGAAATTTGGTTGTAACAGCCGAGGAAAGAGGAGAAGGGCCCTAAAGAGATAATATGTAAAATGAAGTCTACCACTATGTTTATACTATGAGGTTGATTAAACATATTAAGTCAGGGTTTTTTAATTACCAAAAAACAAACCACTTCCTTTTTATCTGGAAGCTACTTTCAAAAACCACTGCAGACTTCTGCAGCAGTACAGATTACCTTCACCCCCTCTCAACCCCCAAAACAACAGGAGGGTCAGGGTACACTCCTTGATTATGTGAGAAGATGGGTGTAATACATCAACGAGTGGACTACACTTGTATGTTTTAACAGACCATAAATGCTGTTGATTTCCACACCGGTAATATTTAACAATTAGGTTGACCTAGTGTACGCCACTGAGCTTCAGTTTTCTGGTGAAGTTAGTAACTACCATCTCATTCAGTCACATTAATTAGTAATGGCACTCAAGGCAAAGCAACAACCTACAAGTTTAAAATAAAAACAAATCAACTGGAAGCCTAAGGCAAACATGCTGGTCTCAGACTGATTTCCAGACCCACATTCTCAAGATAGACTAGAACCTTCTCAAACACCCTTAGAAGCTACTTAGGAAACCACTGGATACAGGACAGTCACTTGCTGAGAGTTCTGTATATTTCAGAAACATTAGTGTATTTGAAAAATGTTGGAGTGGGGTTGCTGCATGTTTTAAGCTCGACTGAAACCTCTACTTAAAACAATTTGTAGGCTGCACAAATGGAGGACCCAGGAGGTTAGGAGAGAAGAAGCTAAAACAAACACAGGTTGTTATAAAGATCCGTGCACTGGGTCCCATCTCTCCTTAGTAAAGCCTGATGCCAACTTGCACAGCAGGACTTAAGTGAAGGAGGTAAAAACAAAATACAACCAGTTCCAGATCTATTATGAAAGAGGAACCTTAACTAGTACATGATTTGGAACTCCTTACTATCTGTTATCTTGAGAACAGTACACTGAAGACTGCACATCTTCTTTATAACGGCTTCCATTCCAGTTCTGACTGCTCAGGCACCACAAAACCTGGAGGTTTCAATGCTTCTTTGTGCCCAGGGTGTAGCGGAAGGTGGGAAAAAATGGATGGATTCACAAGCATAAAGAACCTTTAAAGATGGCATTATAAATAGGTTTTGTGGCAACCAAAGAACACTTTTTAAATAGCTGTTTGTCAGGTGAGATACAGCAAAGCATTCATTACAAATAACCCCAGAGGAGAACTGGCGGGTTCAGAAGATTCTGTGGTCTTTGGGTAGATGAAAGGGAAAAGACAGAAAGGCTGACAAAATGGGTCTCACAGAAGTCTGAGACAAGGCAGGCCTACAGATATAAAAGGTAAGTCTGAAAACAAAAACGGTAAGATAGAACTACTGGACATATAGCACAATGAGAAAGTAAGTCCAGATTAAAGTTCCATATGGGAATCAAGACTTAAAAAAAAATAAAACAAACACCACCACAAATACAACTTAAAAAGGGACATACTCAAGGGAAAAGAACTAGACCTGGTCGTTTGCACTGCCTCAGTCTGAGATTTACATTTCAACTGGCCCCACCCGTTCATGTCATCAATTCACATTCTTTTGCCACCAAGACAGCAGGGGAAAAACGTATACAACGATCAAATGTATGGTACTCTTCGCTGCCATGAAAAAGAAAACAAGCGAGAAAATCCCACTCATTTTAGCAATTTTAAATGCTAATTTTATTTACTGCTAAATGTGCAAACACCAATTCAATACTGTGCAGTAAAAGTTACATAAATCCAATATTAAACAATAGCATATGAAATAAGTAAAGCAGAGCACCATGTGCCTTCAAAACTGATTAATATCACAGAACACAATTCAGACAATTCTTAAAAAATCTGAAGAGGTCGCTCATTTAATATTTAGTTATCCAGAAGCCAATGCTCTTTTGTTTTTTACTTTCTAGAAACAAGTGAAAGTTATTCCAGTTTTGCACGGTTTAACATGTTTGACATCTGAGCCAAGGAAACAGACCCTACAATTTATTCCTTTTATCAACTGGAACCATCAGCTAATACAAAGTTGACAAGCTGGCTGACAGGAGAACAGCTGAATACAATGAAATATGCTCAATATGGGGCTAGCTGTACAGCCATCTCCATTTCCTTATCCACAACCCAAAGTAATGTTCCTTTATTTAAAGTAGTATTTTAAATCAAAAGATAAAATAATCTTAAAGACAGATACCATAGTAACCACCCTAACCACCTAAATCACTTAAACACTAACATAAAACACTTTTTAAAAAACCAAAATAGCAAAAAATGGCAGTGCAAGAATACTTCATACTGCTGAAGCTTACATGTTCTGAGGTATGTAATGAGAAGCTGAGGGAGGTGAAGCAACATAGCCAACTGGCCCAGGATTCATAGCACCATGAATTTGAGAAGAGCCACCACATGCTGCACCAACTGAATGCCAGGGGGCAACATAGGGATAATCGGGCACAACAGGAAGACAGGAATCAAAACCTGGCAATGGTGGAGGCCCATAGGGATCTGACATCACTGGATAATAGACTGCTCCAGGAGGGACAGATGCAGGGTCAGCATTTGGAACAGTACCTGAAACAAAGAATGCATATAGTACACACTTTAGATACGAAGATTCACTAGAACATCAACACACATTAGAGGTCTTTACAGGTAGAAGTGAAATTTAGCACTAACTATGGGAAAGATCACAGCAAATGTGGTAAAAGCACTTTAGATAAGAACACTAGTGACTAAAGCAGGCTACCAAAAGCTTATATGAAAATTTCCCAACTAAAGAAATGTGTGTGTGTGCGCACACCCAAGCACACGTGTCACGTGTCAAATGTATTCTACCTAGAGACAGTTATCTTTCTGGGATGATCTAGGTACCCACAGACTAAATACATACAGAAAACATTCTCTAGAGTCCTTCTAGTCAATGAAATTCTCATAAAGGGTAGGTCACAAGTAAGTTACCCAATAGTTTCCCACTGTAGCACATATCATCCAAATAAACATTTTGTATTACTTTAGCAATGAAAAACTCAAGTGCCTATACTTGAAGGTATAGTTCTGAAAAGCATCCTAAAGACCAAAAATTTGTCATCACTTGACCGGCATTAAGATCTTATCCTAGCATTATTTTAATGTTCCACCACTTAACTACCACAAGGGACTTTTAATGGAAATAGATGCTGTTCTGACTTTGCTATACTGACCATGTAAATATTAAAAAGGAGTCATTCATTATCTGGGATAACTTAGAAGACTAACACTGCACTGTCTCATGGTGTACCACAGTTAAAAACAGCTCTATAAAAGGTACACGGTATAAAAATGCAATGAGGGGGACACTAACTTTTATTACTATGGGCCATATCACATCACCATACTAGGGATCATATTCTATAGTGTTAATATTCCCAAACCATTAATATGCTTTAAAAGGGAGGAGGAACAAAAGGAAAGTCACATTCTTCACCTATTCTAAATCCTTTAAAATGGGTCTCCATCTATACTGTACTGTGAACTAGAGCAACCATCTTTATGGTCTGGCACACTGGTCTCCAATGTTTTGGTCTCAGGACCCCTTTACACTCTTAAAAATTGAGGATCTCAGATAGCTTTGGTCTATGTGAATTAGATCTATCAATATGTACTGTATTAGGAATTAAACTGAGAAAGTTAAAAGTATTTAATTCTGGTAAAAAAAAAAGCCCATTAATGTTCAAAATTTTTTTATGAAAAAAGTTTACATTTCAAAACAAAAATATTATGAGACAAGTGCTATCATTTTACACACTTGTGCAAATCTTGAATGTATGATTTAATAGAGACAACTGGATTCTCACATCTGCTTCTGTATTTAATATAATAGGCTGTTCTGAAGTATATGAAGAAAATCTGGCCTCCTACAGATACATAGGTGGAAGAGAGAACCCTTTTAACAACCAGCCTTTTCAGATACATGCAGATATATTTTTTGATGCTACACCAAAACCAGGTAAGTGGTAGTTTCCAAAGGTTAGCAGCAATGTGGACTTTTTCATACTCAGTCAACATTAAAATCCACTGTTTTATCTTGCACTTTGAAATAGACCTTTTACAAAAACGTTACACAGGTAACACCATTCACTGGTAACCGGAGAAGTATTATTTCATGGAGTTATATAAATCTCCCCAAATGTTGACACATTTCATTATACAATGTGAAAAAACACATTCCTTAATAGCCCCATCTATCTTTTTTTTTTTTAAGATTTTATTTTTTTAGTAATCTCTACATCCAACATGGGGCTCAAACTCAACCTCGAGATCAAGAGTCTCATGCTCTACAGAGTCAGCCAGGTGCTGCAATAGCCCCATCTATCTTATTAGAAAAGTTAAGCATTGAGAAGCTGTCAAGCTCATGGTGGCAGATACAAGTTTTCCAAAATTCTAATTTTTATTTGAAAGCTGGAATTTTTATCTTTGACAACAAATTCTATCAGTTCTTTCTTTCCTGAAGTGACAGGCTCACGTTGAGAAAATGTCTGCCAGATCTCCAAGTCTAAATAACCATAGTTTGTCTATCATGTAAGTAAAAATAGTGTTGCATAAAAAGAGCTGGTTTAGCTCATTAGTCAATCTCACAAATCCTTAAGTTAATCATCCTTCAGTATGCACAGTAATTTATGAATACTTTCCATGTTGTCACATAGAATATTCAGTACAATTACTCAAAAACAAAGATTTAATAAAAATATTTTGATTTAAT